TCACATGATTACGATCTCTGTTTTTGTGGTGAGAATATTTCAGGTCTACTCTCTTGGCAATTTTCAAGTCTATAATACGGTGTCATTAACTATAATCACCACACTGTATGTTAGATTCCCAGAACATGTTAATCTTATGACTGGAAGTTTATGCTCTTTGACCAACATTTCCCCATTTCCCCACCCCTCAGCCCCTGGCGACCACCACCCTGCTCTCCCTGTCTCGGTGATTGGCTTTTTTAGACTCCACATATAAGTGATATAATACAGTATTTGCCTTTCTTGGTCTGATTTATTATCAGGGAAGTATTACTTTATACAACCTTGGTATCTACCAGAAAATAGAATATTTGAATGCTTGCTTGGTAAACAAATCTATAATTATAATTAGCATATATTTACTGATTTCTTTTATACTACAGCATTAAACAGATTAAAAAATTTGTTTAATGTTTATTTGTTTTTGAGAGACAGAGAGAGACAGAGCATGGGTTGGGGAGGGGCGAGAGAGGGAGACACAGAATCTGAAGCAGGCTTCAGGCTCTGAGCTGTCAGCACAGAGCCAGATGCGGGGCTCAAACCCACGAACCGCAAGATCATGATCTGAGCTGAAGCCGGATGCTTAGCTGACTGAGCCACCCAGTCGCCCCTACAGCATTAAAAATTTTTAACTGATAACTTACATATAGTAAGATACGTAAATCTTAAGTGTACGGTTTGATGAATTTTTATAAATGCACACACCTGTGTGACTACCATCCAGATCCAGTTATGGAATAATTCTTTCTTTTTGTTTTTTTAAAATGTTCATCTATTTTTGGGGGGGAGCAGAGAGAGATGGGGAGAGAGGATCTGAAGCAGGCTCTACGTTGACAGCAGACAACCCAATGCGGACCTCACGCACTGTGAGATCATGACCTGAGCCGAAGTCGGATACTTAACCAACTGAGCCACCCAGGTGCCCCCAGTTATGGAATATTTCTAGCTCCTAGCAGTCTCCCTCTTGCCCTTACTCAGCCAACCACCCCTTAAATGTCATCACGATTCTGACCTCTGTCACCATGGATTAGTTTTGCCTGCCCCTGAATTTAATATACATGAAATCTTATTGTATGTATTCTTTTGTATTTGACATCTTTCACTCAACATGAAGTGAGGTTCATTTATGCTGTGATGTGAAGCCGTCATCCACGGTTTTGCCTTACTGTGTGGTATTCCACTGTATGACACAATAACAATTTAGTCATCCTTTCTACTGTTGATGGACTCTGTGCTTCCAGGTAAGAGCTATTTCATGATGACTCAGTGGTTCTACGCGGTGCTGACCCTAGGAGGTGCTGAGGTATATAGAACTGACTGCCCCAGTGCCTGGTTTCAGCTGCGCCTACTCGTTTGCACCTCCCATCCTTGATGCCTTTGTTTCTCTGCTGTTCAGAACAAGCCTGGAGGTTCCAGTAGGAACTTGAAAGTTACTTACATTTTATTATACAAATAAGTCAGATATGCTCTGTGCTTAAAAAAGGAAAATGCTGAACCTCTTCCTTCCTTCCTTCCTTCCTTCCTTCCTTCCTTCCTTCCTTCCTTCCTTCCTTCCTGGAAGCACCTGAGCATTGTCCCACTGTGTTCTGTAGAATCAAAGCCAGCTTTCTCTAGATTATGCAGCTGTTCTAGGAGTTTGTAGTTCATTGCTTTCAAAATTGGATACCTCGTGTTATGGGCTGAATTTATCCTGACATTCGTATGTTGGAGTGTTAATCCCCAATACGTCAGAGGGTGACTATATTTGGAGATATCCAATCTGACAGATATCCTTATTAAGAAGAGAAAAATTGCACACACAGGAAAGACACCGGCACACACGTGCACAGAAGAAAGACCCTGTAAAGAGGCAGTCAGAGGGGAGCCATCTGCAAGCCAAGGGGAGAGGCCTCAGAGGAAGGCCACCCTCTTGACACCTTGACTTTGCACTTCCAGCTTCCAGTACTGTGAGAAAGTGAATTTTCACTGTTTAAGCATCCCAGGCTGTGGCATTTTCATTATAGCAGTCCCAGCAAACTAACATTTGATTGGTTTCAAATGATTTTCCAAATGCCATACGGTAACATCTATAAAATAAGTCAGCTCTTTCTTAATTTTTCATGTTTAATCAGGGGCGTAGCAAACTCCAGGGTTTAAATGGGCCACAAACCAATCATTTAGTAGCCAACCCCATGCAGCCTGCATGTCCCTCCTCTCCTGGTTTGGCTGCCCCCTGAATGATTTGAGATGAAATGGTTTTGAGAAGAAATCATACTCCTTTACCTTCAAATACTTCATCTTATTATATAAGGATGTTCTCTTACATAATCATAAAATTCAAAAAAATTAACACTGACATAAGGCTATTATGTAATACATGGCCACATTAAAATTTTGCCAGTCATCCCAATACTATTCTTTCTGGTAATCTCTCCCTCTCCTTCCCACCTCCAGGACCACATGTTACATTTGATTATCATGTCTCTTTGATCTCCTTTAACCTTTGCCTACCACGACATCTACATTTTTGAAGATTACTCAGCAGGTGTTTTGTAAATGTCCCTCAGTCTGGGTTTGTCTGATGATTAGATTCAGGTTATGCCTTTCTAGCATAATCGGAACTTTAGACATGCATAGGCTGTTCATGCCACAAAGCACAAGAGTTATCACACCCTTCCATTGCTTTAAAAGCAACAAAGCCCACTTACATGCTAAGAGGAACACATTTGATACATAAATTCACTTTGAGGTGTTAGTGATGAAAACGATCTCCCTGAGGCAATAAACCTGCTAGGCATCACTGTATTTTTAAAGAAAAATTTATTAGACAAAAGGATACACATTTTTTTTAATCATGATTTTTTTTAAAATCATTTAAATCATACGTTTTAAATTACAGGTGTAGGCTACTTTTCATATGGGCAACTCTATGCATGTTCAAGGGGGGAGGAATGTTGCAATTATACCCAGAGTTATTCTGGAAAAGGTCCCCACTATGAAACACTGCAGAAACAGCCTGCTTTCCATAACAGATGCAGTGACTGAGGCATTGAAGCGGTGATGCTTTAGTTTGTCTTAATTTTTCTGAGGTTTGTATGTCACCCAGCAGGGTCTCCATGGACTAGATTTCAGAGCAATTGAGTTTGGGATTCCTGTGAGCCATGGAAGACTCTGGAGTGGGAGTGGGGAACAGGAAGAGTGCTGTAATAGAGGAGGGGGTCCAGAAAGGGAGGTGAGATTCAAACACAAACATTTACCTGTCTTCAGGTTTGCCCGACTTTGGCCCTTTTCTGATTATGCCCCACGAATCAAAAAGAAAGCAAACGAGACAGCCAGTTTATTACAAAATACAGAGTTTCTTAGGATTTCAAATACAGTTTTTATTTAAGCTCATACTTTTGAAGCAAATATCTGTTCCTATAAGAAAATTTGCTAGGAAGTGAGTGAAGGAACTTTTTTTTCCTTTTTATCTTTTCACATAGCAAAGAAGAACAGTACGATGAATTTCTCTGTCTCTTCCTTTCCCAGGCAACACTCCCAGCGACCTCATGTCTTTATGTTCTTTTTTTTTTTTCCTTTGTAAAAGCAGTGGCAGCAGCAGCAACTTTTGCACGCACTTCTTGGGAGGAACAGGTGTAAGCCCTTGACCACATTTGCAAAAGTCAAGTTCCTATATTACAGGCAAGGTGAGTGGCACAGACAGGAGGCAGTATTTACAGAATGGCTACAGTAATGCCCAATGAATGCAAGCGGTGGGATTTGTTAACTCCTGTTGCACGCTCAGCTTCCTATAGTTGACTCAACTTATGTCTTTGGAGCTCTAGAGTTACAAGAACATCCATGTAAACTAAAAAAAAATTTTTTTTAAATTTTATTTAAATCCAAGTTAACATATAGTGTAATAACGGTTTCAGGAGTAGAATTTAGTGATTCATTTCTGGGATGTAACACCCAGTGTTCATCCCAATAAGTGCCCTCCCTAATGTCCATCACTTATGTAGCCCATCCCCCCACCCAATGCCCCTCCAACAACCCTCAGTTTGTTCTCTGTATTTAGGAGTCTCTTATGGTTTGCCTCCCTCTCTGTTTTTATCATATTTTTCCTTCCCTTCCCCTATGTTCATCTGCTGTGTTTCTTAAATTCCACATATGAGTGAAATCATCCATGTAAACTTTTAATCAGACTTTGAGTCTGGAACCTTACTGAAAGTTCTAGGGGAAATAAATAATAAGCAATCTAAGCTAGTATCCATATGATGATAAGGTGAGAAACAGTGAGATACTTATCAAACTAATTTGCACTGGTTGCTTAAAAAGTCAACATAAAAGTAACTTTAGATATTACAGTTAAAAAATAGTTTTTTAAGTTAGGTAATTTAGTTTTTGATATCTTCAAGGTATTATCTTAGATGCCCCATAACTTTGTTTTGCTTTAATGATTATAATTCTTTTGTCGTTGTCATTAGAAAACTGAGTGGATCCTGAAAGTTCTCATTGTAAGAAAAAAAAATCGTAACTTGTATGGTAATGGTTGTTAACTGGACTTATTGTGATTTTTTGCAATATATACAAATATGGAATCATTACATTGTACATCTGAAACTAATATAATGTATGTCAATTACACCTCGGTAAAAGATAAATGAATAAGTAGCCACTATCTACACCATGGCCAAACAGAGAATAGAATAAGAATAACATTAAACTTTCAGTTTTCTATAATTTCCTTTACAGTTCACTTTGTTTTTTTTTTTTTTTTAATTTTTTTTTTAACGTTTATTTATTTTTGAGACAGAGAGAGATAGAGCATGAACGGGGGAGGGTCAGAGAGAGAGGGAGACACAGAATCTGAAACATGCTCCAGGCTCTGAGCTGTCAGCACAGAGCCTGACGCGGGGCTCGAACCCACGAACTGTGAGATCATGACCTGAGCTGAAGTCGGATGCTTAGCCGACTGAGCCACCCAGGCGCCCCATTTACAGTTCACTTTGTAAATGCACTTCGCTCTGTAAGTTTTCCAGTGAGTAAAAAGGGTGTCATTAATGTCTTCGTTTGGTTTATATCGATTTGTTTAAATGCTTTCACTTTAATTTAGAAGAGAGAGCTGATTCTCCTGGCATTGCAGTCTGTACAGGAATTCTTGGAACCACCCACTTTAGGATTTTATTTGCATGAATATCCTGAGATCTTAAAAAGTTGGGGATAAGAGTAATGTAGTTATCGCTCCTATCTGGCAAACATGAATATCCTGTAAGCCGATATCTTCCCTGCAGACATTAAGAACGATTTCTAGTCTGTGGTGTTTAAGATACTTCATGTTCAACTCCAATCACTTTAGTTTGGAAAAAGAAAGCAGGAATGTTTTTAATCTCTTTTCGGAGGTATTGGCCTCTTTTGCATCAGCATGTCTGGGGCTTCTCTTTTCTCTCTGCTTTCTTCAGAGGAGCTTCCTCTCCACAGTTTTCTTCTGGGGAAGTATCTGTAATGAGGAGTGAGGCGACTGTGTGGCCAAAAGAACGGACGAAACTGAAAACGACGATTGCACTTCCGAGGAAGGAAAGGTCTGTTTGGAAACCTAATGTGGACTCTAGGCCCTTGTGGAAAAAAGTGAAAGGGACACTTGGGTGTCCTTGGGACGAGCTGAATCCTCGTCACCGGGTTCCTTATGGTGGGTGGAGGGGTGAGTGTAAAGATCTCGCAGTCTGTAGGGCCTCCATCATCTTGTGAACCTCTAAGAGGGGTGGCTACTGCTTTTTGTCCTGCGGGGAGAAAGGTGCAAGTCAGCAAAAAGGCCTGATAACAAAAGCAGAAGGGAGATACTTTAGATGGCAGCAGGGCAGAAAGATTGGGAGAGAGAAATAGAGAAGTCTCAAAACAAGTTTGAAAAAACTGCCAAGGTCCAACAGAATGAAACATGAACACACCTCATGACCCAGCAGTCCTACTCTGAGGAATTTATCCAAGAGAAATGAATGCATATGTCTTCAAAAGACTACTTCACGAATGTTCATAGCAGCCTTGTTCATATTCATATTATTATTTTTTAAGTAGGCTCCATGCCCGACACGGGGCTTGAAGTCAGGACTTTGGGATTGAGAGTCAGATGCTCTTCCCATTGAGGCATTCGGCTGCCCACCCCCACCCTTCTTAAGCCTTATTCATAATAGCTCTTAAGCTTGGAAACAGTACAAGTGTCCATCAATAGGAGAAAGGTTAAACAAACTGTGTATATACAATGAAAAGGGGGCAACAAATAAAGGAAGACTTACTAATATGACAACATAGAGGCATCCCACAGATATATTGAGCAAAAGGAGTTAGACACAAAAGAGTCCGTACTGTAAGATTCCACTTATATAAAGTTCAAGAACAAGGAAAACCCATCTATGGTCACAAAAAATTCTTAAGTAATTAATTTAGGGTTAGGGTAGGTGTTATTTTGTGGAAAAAGAATTCTTTATTTTTATTATTTTTTAAGGTAGGATTCTTTAGATCTTGTTTCAGGTGGTTGTTATGTGGTTATGGAGACACACACACATTTATATTTACACATACATATACGTACACACATGTTTATATACATACATACATATATGTGTATATGTAAAATGTGATTAGTCTGTACCTCTAAGATTTGTATATTTTATTGTTCATAAGTTATAACCAAATAATGAAAATTCAGGGGCGCCTGGGTGGCTCAGTTGGTTAAGCAGCCAACTTCGGCTCAGGTCATGATCTCACAGTCTGTGAGTTCGAGCCCCACATCAGGCTCTGTGCTGACGGCTCGGAGCCTGGAGCCTGCTTCAGATTCTGTGTCTCCCTCTCTCTGATCCTCCCCCATTCATGCTCTGTCTCTCTCTGTCTCAAAAATAAATAAACACTAAAAAAAAAATTAAAAAATAAGAGAATTCAGCGGAGGAAAAGAATTAATGTTAAGAAAATAAGAATAACTGCCCCTCCCTGTGAAGGCTATTCATCCAAGGGGTCTGCTTCACTTCCCCTAGCACTGAAATCATTCTCTAAAGAGGGAAGTGGGGGGGTGGGGGTGGGCATCTACACACAGGAGGGGAGCAAGTACTAAAAACCAGGATGAAATTAGTTTCTGAGAAGAAATTTGGGTCAAGCTCAAGTGTCAAGGTCTTCTCTATAGAGAACACTCTTCTCTGTATCATCCAATGGAATTGGCTATGAAAAAGTAAGCCCTTCAGAAAATTATTCTTTCATGTTCTTACAAACTTACCTACACAGGCCTGGAAGGGGATGCTATATGTAAATTATGGAAAAACAAATTCCCCACAGAAAGTTGAAAGTACTGAGGCACTTCAAAGAACTGGATTCCCCTCACCTTTAGAACAACTGAATTCAGATTTCTTGGTTGTGTAGGACATACCTATTTCCTGCTTGTGTTTATAGCCCCTTCTGGAGATTCTGCTTTACCCACAACTCCTGGAAAGGTCAGTCCTACGTATCTTTGACTATGGATGATTGGCCTGCTGATAGACATTCATCTCATTCATTGGTTGGTCAGTGACCAATCAGATTCTCATTTAAGGATTTCAACAAAGAGACACAGTGGAAGATGTTAGTGGAAGGTGTAGGGCAGGGACTGGAGTGTTAGGTTTTGTTTGGCCAGTTGAAATGATGAGTAAGCAGAGAAGCCAGTCTTTCCATAGATGCCATAAAATGGTAAGACCTTTCAGAGAAGGAGAGACAAGTGACCATGTGGTAACAGAGTGGTGGTAAGAGTAGCCTTGGTTCTTGACTCTTTAGGGCTGATCCCTCTGAAGCCTGGCTGTGCACAAGGGTCTTAGAAATATCCTTATAATAATCACTCCACCTACTCTTTAAAAATTTTTTTTTAATGTTTATTTTTGAGAGAGAGAGGCAAAGCATGAGCAGGGGAGGGGCAGAGAGAGAGAGAGAGAGACAGAACCCGAAGCAGGCTCCAGGCTCTGAGCTGTCAGCACAGAGCCCGACCTGGGACTCAAACTCACCAGGTGTGAGTTCATAACCTGAGCTGAAGTCAACCGACTGAGCCACCCAGGTGCCTCCTTTTTAAAATTTATTTATTTTGAGAGAGAGGGAGGCAGAGCGTGTGTGTGTGTGCGCGCGCGCTTGTGGGAGGGGCAGAGAGGGAAAGAGAGAGAGAGAGAGTCCTAAGCAGAGCTTGATCTCATGATGGTTAGCTCATGACCTGAGCCAAAAATCAAGAGGCAGATGCTCAACCGACTGAGCCACTGAGGTGCCCCTACTTTATTCTCTTCTTAAGCTGGCTTGAGTGGGTGTCTGTTCCTGAACTGTTGTAACATGAAAGCTTTCTGCAGAGAATCCAGTCAGTGTGGAGAAGCTAGCTTTCTTCTTCTTTCTTCTCCTTCTCCATCTCTTTCTCCTCCTTGTTCTTCTCCTTCTCCTTCTTCTCCTCCCCCTCCTCCTCCTCCCCCCTTCCTCCTCTTCCCTCTCCTCTTCCTCTTCCTCCTCCTCCTTCTTCTTCCTTCTTCCTTCTTTCTTCTTTCTTCTTTAAAGATTTATTTTAGGGGCACCTGGATGGCTCAGTTGGTTAAGCCCCTGACTTCAGCTCAGCTCATGATCTCACAGTTCATGGGCTTGAGCCCTGCATCAGGCTCTGTGCTGACAGCTCAGAGCCTGGAGCCTGCTTCAGATTCTGTGTCTCCCTCTCACTCTTCCCTTGCTCTGCTTGAGCTCTGTCTCTATCTCAAAAATAAAGATAAAAATTTTTTTTAAATAATATTTATTTTATTTTTGAGAGAGAGAGAGAGAGAGAGAGAGAGAGAGAGAGAGAGAGAGAATGCATGCATGTGAGCCAGGGAGAAGGACAGAGGGAGAGAGAGACAGAATCTTAAGCATGACCCTGGGATCATGACCTGAGCTGAAATCAAGAGTCAGACACTCAACCAACTGAGCCACCGAGGCACCAGAAACTAACTTTCTTCTTAAACTCCATCTTGACATTTTGTTATTAGATCAGACTTAGCTAGGCCTGAGCTCTGCCTCTCAGTACACTGTATTCCAGCCATTAACAACAAATCAACCACCTACCCCTGTGCTCATCTCATTTCTCAAACCTGAGGCTATTCAACCAAATCTTCCTGCTGACTCTGGGGTGTTAGAGCCTGGTAGGTAGGTTTTCTCTGATTCTGGGATGTCCAGCAGTGTTCACTGCTCTCTTCCGGGGATTTCCAAGAGCTCTATATCAAGATACAAGCTTGTCCTAGTAACCAGCCCAAGAATGTGGGCAGGACCACGTAAAACCATATTCTTCCAGCAAACTAGACACATGATGACTATTGCAGGGCACTGGTTGACTAGCACAAGGGCTCTAAAATGTGGGAACCATAGGGATTGATTTGGGAAACTATACAGGTTAAGGCCACACATTTGGGTGAGGACATTGATGCCATTCATGGTCTCCAACTTTGGCTGAGTTAACACTGCTCACCAATTCTTTTGTTTCTCCTCATTCTGCTCCATTCCCACTAGCTTCTGAATCTTTGACACTCTTCTCAAAGCCCCTTCAAAATTCTCATTCTTTGTCATTCATTTGAAGAATTTTCTTCAAAAGTCTCTCTACCTTTGTAAGTAGACTACTTAGCTGCATATTTCAGAAAGAAAACTTCAGTGATCTGCCATGAACTTCTTTGGTTCTTATCTCTCTCACTTCAGAGAGATATCTACACAGTCATCTACATGCGCTCCCTATGGCCCCCCATATTTAATCTACTGGAACCTGACTGTGCTTTCTCTACTCAAGAAAACCTACTTTGGCAAAAGTCATTACCAGTCTGGGCTTTTAACAAACTGGTTCCAGATACCCAAGCACCATTTCCTGTCCTCTTTGCCTGGCTTACTCCTACGCATATTTCATGCCTCATTTCCTCAGTGAGGTCTTTCCTACCCTGAGGCTGGCTTAAAGCCCTTGGCGCTATGCTTCCATACCACTCTGGGAGTCCACTTTCAGAATACTCATCAGTCATGTGATTACTATTCAGTGGTTGTATTTCTCCACCGGAACATCCACATGACGACCCTGTAGACCACATCTCCTTAGCCCTGCCACAGTGCCTGCAGTGGAATTGAATTGATTGAGAGAAATCTCTGTTTCCATAATTGCCAAAGTTACCATCTCCCCACCTCTCAGAGATGATGCGATCATTATAAATAGATGGTTTTCAATATTTAACACACAGACATGCCCCCAAAGGCACTGAATGTCAAAGATGAGAGCCCTTCTGTGACATTAATCAGACCAAAGTAGGTGAAATATTTGAATACAGATTGAGAGGTGCCTGGGTGGCTCAGTCAGTTAAGTGTCTGAGGTTTAGACTCAGGTCATGATCTCACAGTTCTTGGGTTCGAGTCCCGCATGGGGCTCTGTGCTGATAACACGGAGCCTGCTTGGGATACTCTGTCTCCCTCTCTCTTTGTCCCTCCCCCACTCTCTCTCTCTCTCTCTAAAAAATAAGTTAATAAACATTATAAAAATAAATATAGATTAAAAAACATTTATAAGACAGAACATGATAGTGTTTAAAGCATAGACTCTAGAACCAGGATCCCTGAGCTCTGCCACTTAATAACTGTATGACCATTGACAGGTTCCTTAATTTTTCTGAGTCTCCTTTTCCTTATTTGTAAAATGGAAAAAAAAATACTACCTACCTCATTGGCTTGTTGCATTATCTGAATTAAGACACGTAAAGTGTCCAGAACATGTCTGATACACAGTATGCACTTAGTAGGCATTAGTTACTGTTATTATTAATCTTGAATGTCATGGAAGAAAGATTCTATCAGCACAAAGGCCCATTTTCTTGGGCCCATCGGGTTCCACTTTAGGTATAAAATATGTGGCTACTGATAGGACTAAAGGGTACAGATGCTATTAGAACGGGACCTTGATGAAAACAGAGATTCTATTGGTCATGGCTCTGTCCTTAGCACCTACAATATACCTGGCTTAGAGGGGGGTCCAGTACATAGTCAATAAATTGAATGAATGGTCAGGCAGATGTTGAGGGTTTTTCTCTGTAGATTTTGTGAAGCTCATGAGTATTTAATTTCAGTCCCAGAAAATTTGCAATAACTTACATTTAAAATTAGACTATAATAAAAAATCAAGCCAAAGTATCACTTGAAGTTTGGATATCAATTTTGAGCAGGTTTATTATAGTCTAGACATGAAATTCATAGCATATCAACAACTAGTACTTTTTTTTTTTTTAAAGTAAGGATGAGAAGTCCCTTTTCTTTAAAAAAAGAAAAAAAACCCCAACAGAACAATTACCTGTAGTCTGTGGTTATTTGGGCAGACGATAGCTGGTTTGTAATGAACTGTACTGATTTTTAAGAGAAGTAAACTCATACATAATGTTTAAGTACACAGTTCTCCCTTTATAAGGCCCATGGAGTCATAGAAAATTCTCATGTGCTTTCAGAGTTGAACCAGAAAGGAATATAAGTTCTGTGATGAATTTACTCACAATAACTGCAACTCAGCTCATTTTGTAGACTCACAGAATGACTGGCTCTTTTGGTCAAATCTCTAAGCCTACAGGGAAAGAATTTGGAGCCCAGAAAGTGTCACAAAGGCCTCTTTAAATTCTGTGCTATAAAGCCAGTCATTTCCACTGTGTGCAGTTACTGTGTTAGGTGTTATGGCAAACTCAGAGATAATAAAGACACAGGCCTGCACTTGGGAAGTGCTACAAATACATGGATCTGTACTACAGAGCAGAAAGAGGCACGTGTCACGGATGATGTACAAATTGCTATAATTCCGAGATGTCAGAGAGAGAGATAGCAATTTTTAAATTATGTGTTTCTTTTGTTTTAAGTTTATTTTTGAGAGAGAGAGAGAGCGCGCACGCACATGCATGCCAGCAGGGGAGGGGGAAAGAGAGAAAGACAGAGACAGAATCCCAAGCAGGTTCTGCGCTGTCCGCACAGAACCCGACATGGGGCTCGACCTCATGAGCCATGAGATCATGACCTGAGCTGAAACCAAGAGTAGGACACTTAACCTATTGAGCCACCCCGGCGCCCCTTTCAATTATGTACCTTAAAAAAAAAATCTTTGCGGAGCAATCCTATAGCTACATTTAAATGTCATCAGGTGAAGCAGAATTGCAATAAACAGGTGAGGGCAGGGTGAGTTTGGACACCCACACACGACCAGACACGGCACAGATAGGTGAGTGACGAGCTGGAACCAGGGCTGCATGGATAGAGCGAAGCTACATTTGAAGGAGTTTCGATGCCAGCCTGAGGGACAGTGGGAAGCATGAGCCAAATTCAGAAGTCATATCTCACATTTTAATTGGTGTTTTTTTCAGATGTGGATACACCTATGACCTCATTATAGCTTGTTCAGCTATGTATTTACAAAGTTTCCAGAAGAGTGGTTCACTTTCTGGAAAGAAGATGTCAGGTAGGTGGCTGGTTGTGTTTTACGATGCCTCTTTTAGATGTCACGTTCAGCAGGTGGTGCTTGGGGGTCTGGTTTTGGGAACGGGGCAGGTGTCATTTGTAATATCTCCCCCCCTTCTGATTGCCAGAGTTCATGCAGAGGTTGGGCAAAGTGACCTCTGGTGGTCTCACTCCCAGCCTCCGGGTCTCTGCCCCTCTCCTCTGTATGTGAGCTTTGGGGGAGGGGAGATGACCAGGGTCTGGCTGAGCCCCTGCAGAGACCCCAGGGTAGTTGGTTTGTTCCTGGGTCTCACCTCCCTGAACAGTATCTAGTGCTGGAACGAAGGTGACTTGTGAAAGAAACAACATTAGACCCAGATCCCCCAGCATCTCTTTCTCTCCTTTCCCTTTCTCCCCTCTTCCCTAGCCTTTTCTCTCTTTCCTCCAGGGGTGTGCAAACCAATTTTAAAGCTCAGGCCGCCTGGGAAACCTTGTGATGGGGGAAAGGAAAGAGGATAGGAGCACTGGAGAAGCAGAATGTAATATAATCCTGGAGAAAGCTGTGTTCACTTCGGTAGCCCCAAGACGCAGCTGCCTAGATGTGATTAATTAAAGCAATTAACAAACAGAGATTAAACAGCCACCATGTGCAAATTGTTGTGCTGCTGGGGATAGCAAGAGGTGGACCCTGCCGTAATTCAGGGTGGAAATTGTTAGCTTTACAACAATAACAACTGGTATTGAATAGTGTTTTGAGCTGGAAGAGCTTTTCTTGCAAGACAGCTCATTTTGTCCTTATAACCCCCATAATAATTATTAATACTGTCACCTCACATATGAGGAGACTGATGTGAGAAAGTTTAAGCATGTCTGAAGTCACACAGTTAGGGCTGAGACGAGGACTAAGGTCTTCAGATGACAAAATTTAGCTTCTTTCTCCTCAACCACACAGGCTGATGGAAGCTGACAAAATTATGTCCGGTTCATGGATACATATAGTTGTCTTTTCACACAACTTATTAATTAGGGACCCACAGTAGAATAAGAGCCAAAGCCTTACCTTCTGCCACGGTTACCACCACCCAGCAGACCAATAGCCGGCAGGCGAAGCGGAGTTGGGGAGCCATGGCTTTCCACCCTGAGCAGTCACTGCCCTGAGCCCAAGTTGCTTTAAAGGGGAGCCGGTGAGTCACCGGCAGCCTGATTCAGGTAATTTGCATTTGCTCAGTGGACCACAGGAATCAGGGCCTGCGGTATGAGGGTAAGAAATCAGCAAGGAAATACCAGACAGTGTTTATTAACCAGAAGTTTCTTGGAATGACAGCCAAACGGCATTCATCTATCCTTTGGAGTCAGATTGTGGGCAACCACGCCCTCACTACCCTTTTAATTCCCTCCAATCTTCTCTGCCCGTAGTGCCCTCTCTTTACTTGTTCTACGGGTCTCCCTGGGCAAGAGAAAGAATCTGTTTAGGGAATACTCAACAGTGCTTCCCTCTGTGTGGTTGACTTACTTTAAAAAGCCAAGCAGGATGGGGAGGGTGTTGTCCAAAGTCTTCCTGACCCAGGTGGTTTGAAGAGGCTGTTCACAGGCCTTGGGTCAGAGATTACGGCTTTTTCTTTTCTCTGCTTTTGTCCAGGAGCCAAAGGCAGCAGCGTCACAAAACTATCTTCTCTAGTAGCCATCACGGTCGCTGTCCACACAAACATGGCTATTTTTTTTTTAATTTAATGTTTATTTGTTTTGTGTGAGAGAGAGAAACAGCGTGAGCAGGGGAGGGGCAGAGAGAGAGGGAGACACAGAATGTGAAGCAGGCTCCAGGCTCTGAGCTGTCAGCACAGAGCCTGACGCCGGGCTCAAACTCACAAACCGTGAGATCATGACCTGAGCCAAAGTCGGACGCTTAACTGACCGAGCCACCCAGGTGCCCTCAAACGTGGCCATTTGGTAGATGAACTCAGTTAGTTGTGTTTCCAGGGCTCCTTCTGATTCATCATATTGTCCCTATGATGGACATGGTGTGCCTGGTTTGTTTCCTGAGAGAATTCGGTTTGTCTAGGAGAGATGGGAGGGGATGGCCACCATGAGAAAGAGCATGGATCTTGAATTGGGAAAACTGGCTTCAATCTTGATACCTTCTCTTCCTGTCTAGGTGAATCCCTGAGACTCGGAGGCGTCTCTTGTGTAAAATGGGCCTTGTCGTATTTCCCTCAGAGTGGTGATGGATATAGAAGAGGTAACTGACCTGAAGCCCCAACCACAAGGCCTGGCCCATGAAAGGGACTGGTTAGGGTTGTCAGTGAATTATAATGACTCCAGTTCTTAACTTGTTCTCTTAGGAGCTAATAGTTGTCTGCTCATTCAGTCACTCCACAGGCCTCCACTTTGAGAACATTTTCCTGGGCATTGCAGAAAGAACAAAACAGAGCACAGTCCCTGGCTTCCAAGGGCTAACAATCTATCGGGGGAGACCATGCAAGCTGAGGACCAAACTGAGGAAGAATGCAAATACTCACAAACTAGAAAATGGCAGATTCCACAGGCCCGATGAGGATCCTAGGCAAAATTCTAGGACAGATGATTAAATGGACAATTTGTCAGCAGTTTGGAAAGGAAGCAGGGATCATGGAGAACAGGGCATTACCCACTGATTGGGCAGCTCTCTGTTGGTCATGTATCATGTGCCACACACTGGTCTAGGTGCTGGGACTGAAACTTAGGGTTCTGCTCTCATGGAGCTTATGCTCGTGCAAGGACATTAAATACTAAGAATAACAATAAAGGGTCTTGAGTATCAAGAGAGAGGAGTACTGGAGGCAGAGAAATCTGTAATTTTATGTCACTGGGTGAGGTATTACATATACTGATGAGGGACTGAAGCAGAAAAATGTTCACCTTTAGCCCAGAAGGCTGACTGACAGCCTGCATTGTTCCGATGAGGATCAAATACGTGCCCTTTGCTACAGTCTTAAAGGGTCTCATGACTGCGTGTAAATCTCACTGATAGTTAATATCAAGCTGAAGGATAAGCACCAGAGAAATCTTGTGAAAGTAGTTTTACGTGTAGAAATTTGAAGAAGACATTTATGATCTAATACTCCCTGCACGTCCCCTCCCCCTTGAGCACTAAGCAGCAGAAAGTGTAGCACTTTCGGCCCATGGGTCCTATCCCCGTGCTGTAATAAAAGTACCTTTCTGGCTCTTTCCATAATTTGGCTATTGTTGAAAGCGATGAGAAAGAATAAAATCCTGCTATTTGCAGCAACGTGGATGGAACTGGAGGATATTATGCTAAGTGAAATAAATCAGTCAGAAAAAGACAGATACCATATGTTTTCACTCATATGTGGATCCTGAGAAACTTAACAGTAGACCATGGGGGAGGGGAAGGGGGAAAAAAGAGTTACAGAGAGGAAGGGAGGCAAACCATAAGAGATTCTTAAATACTGAGAACAAACTGAGGGTTGATGGGGGGGTGGGGGAGGGGAAGTGGGTGATGGGCATTGAGGAGGGCACCTGCTGGGATGAGCACTGGGTGTTGTATGGAAGCCAATTTGACAATAAATTATATTAAAAATCAATTAAGTAAATAATAAACATAAATAAATAAATAAAAGTACCTTTTTACACCAAAAACAGCTCAAGAAATCTTTCTTGACCATTCAGTTGCGGCCCCACATGATATATTACTTTGCCCCCTGCATTGAAAACACATTACCATGCCAATAAAATTCGATCCATGTAATCTCTAACTACTGCCCAATGTTCCTCTTTGTGGATTTACTGTAAATTATTGAAGCAAACTTTTAGTTGATGGAAGTTTGTATCATTTTTTCTGATCCTCTTTCTTTTCTCTATTGGATTTCTGACAAGCCTTCAGTTTAAATGTTGATGAAATAAATAACAAAAGCCAAATGGTGTAATTGTTTTTTCTGTTTGCATCTATTGTCCTGAAATTTATAAAATAAAGGAATGAAGCTTCCAAAGGAGGAAAACGATTTTTTCAAGTATGTAACAAACAAAACTTTGCTCTGTTGATGATATAAAACAAAATGAAAGAGACGGGGTGTGAGAGAAGAAACCAAATGTAAATTTGTCTATCAGACAATCAACTGGTGTCTCAGGTAGTGCTCTACACTATAGATTACTCTTCCTTTTGGATGGGTTTCCTGCCCACCAGGAACACCCTGTGGAGAGGTTGACATAAGCTTTCGACGCTGCCCCTCTCTCTTCGAGAAGACATTCATTCTGAATGCACGGAACCTAACCACCAGACCCCAAATTTCTTTTATTATTTTTCTGGGAGACTCAAAAAATACTCATGCAAATGGGGCTAAGCTCCCCGCATAGGTCTGCCCTGGGGGTAGCGGATCAGATTCCCTGATGTTCCTTTGAAAGTGTAAACCCATGTGTAGAGGAAACAGGCAAAGAAGGGGAATGGTACCTGCTAGCACCGGTGGCAAAAACGACTAAAAACCAAAAAAACTCGGGATGTATAAGGTGAAAATATTCTGAGACAGTAACCTGCAAGGGAAGCCGCACATGATGATGTTGATACGGAAACTGAAGATCAACTGAAAGCAAACATGGGAAGTGAGCATTATCTGTCCTTAGAGCCTCCATGCCAGTGGGCTCGGCACGCGGGGCTGGCACTTCCTTTCCACCTTGTAGGCTTTATCTCACATAGTCATCATGTCCGAGTTTTGTGACAGCTATTGTCTTTTCAATCCCCTCTCATTCTAAGATCAAGAAAATGTTCTTAAAAAGAAACTCTAATTATATCACTTTCTAAGGATCCTTTGATGATGCTCTATTGCTTAAAAAACAAAACCCAAATTCCTTAGGTGAATATTCAAAATTGTATTACTGATCTGTTTTGATCAATGGTTTTATTCCATCTCCCATCAATCTCTAGCTTAGATCCCAACCCCAGGCATAGTTCTCTGCTTCTAACTCTCAACTTTGTCTTGCTCTTCCAAGGAAGGAAGGAATGCAAATATCTGTATGGGGTCAGTGGTTCTCAACCGGAGGGGATTTTGCTCCCCCCCTCTCCCAGAGGACATTTGGCAATGTTTAGAGACGTTTTTGTTGTCACAGTCCCCCACAGCGAAGTCCTCTCTGGCCCCAAATGCCAATAGTGCTGCTGTTAAAAAAAATAACGTTTAGAGCAACCTCGTGTGAAGTGTGTTGATCATTTCTTTGAGCCTTTAGGAATTTGCTAAAAGGAGGAACAAGTTTCAGGATAAAGGGAACACTGGAATGGAAACATCGATGTACTAAGAGGAAGACTTTTTTGTCTCCACTGGGTGATCAAATCAGTTGCAAAGTCAGTCGCACTCCTGCCAAGCTGCAAAGTGAATTTTCTCCCTTAGGTCAAAGCGAATTGGAGAACTAGAAATGAGTATATTCACAAGAAGCCAGGTAACACCTTCTGCTTGATACAACTAAGAAGGGTCATCCTAAAACACAGGTAGCTGAAGTAGGGTTGAAAGGTATGGGCTCTGCCTTTCCTCACCAGTTTAATTTTTCAAGCTTTTCTGCACTTAATACTAAAATAGACATGCTTTAATGGAGACCTAGGAGGATGGGGCAAGCCTCCAGTCCTGTTGCTTAAAGACTAAAACTACCGGGTCAGGAGGCCACATTAAGGCCCTAACCAGATCTCTGATAGTGCCAACAGCGGACAGATCAAAAGGAACAGAATTTTTAAAAATCTCATTGAATTCTTATTTGACAGAAAATTCTACCTTACTTCTTCATTGGTGATGTATGGAGTTACTGTCTTGCCATATCTTATTTATTTGTATGTTTTATATATAT